ATGAATGAAGTGTTGGAGAATGTATGGGGAAATTGGAAGCCGAGGCGAAAAGAGGTAATAGTTTAAGGACGACTCTTTCTATCTCTTAATTAGTAGATAGGTAAATGAAGTTAGAATTAAGAAATGAAGTTAAGTTAGATGTAAGAGTAGATGTAAGAGTAGTTTGTAAGTTAATATGTAAGAGTTTGTAAGGTTTGGGTACGCTCCATAAAAGCGCCTTTAATCCCTAAGAGGGCAAATAAAGTAATGAATGAATGAATACATTTTTTTATACTTTATTTTTGTTAATTTTGTCTCAGAAGAAGTAAAAAAAATATTCTTTTTTTTAAATAAAAATATTTATAAAAATATTAAGTACCTTATACAATGTCCCCGACTTACCGGATCACTCATGGTTCCTAAGGTTATTTGGAGATTTTTCCTTAACGAAAATGTTGAGAGATTATCATTTTTTGCAAGCTCCCAATTTTTATCATAAATTTTTGTAACTAACAATAGTCTTAAATTAAAATTCTATTATTAAATTCGAAATTAATAAAAAATGTAATTTTGTTAATCTTTTATTCTACAAGGCTTAGTTGTTATAAACTTTTTATTTCTATCGTTTATAAATAAAAAATTATTAGTGCCTCAACATTTTCACTGAGAAAAAATCGTTTCAAATAATCCCAAAATCTATCATTAACGAATAATCTGGTAAGTTTGAGATATCCAGTATACATATATAGTAGATGATATTAGTAAATATACATATCTCTGATTAAAAAAATCGATAAAGAAAACAATAGAAAACGCGATTGCATCGTTTTTAATTAGTTATGAATCAGAAATTAACAAAAGAATATCGTAAATGATTGATTCTTTAACGTTTCCTCTCGTAAATATCCTATTAATATGTTATCATTTCTTATCATTTCTTTTTGCTAATCCATACAGCATCGAAAGATGGCAAAAATACATATATTATTGCATAGATCTAACATTGAAATATTATAATATTGCATAGGAATTATAAAATGTTTCTGCAATGTTCCTACAAAATTACGGCAACAGTAAAATGTCTGCCTTTAAAAAAATTACAATATAATTCTATTAAATAATACTTTTTTTTTATATACTACGCGTTTTCATAATTATGTTTACTTATAGTAATTTAATTTAATATTACATATATTTCTATAATTATTAACTTTAAATTTAAATAAATGCTAGTTTATGATGATGTTATGCTACAATATTATTCATGTTATAACAGCGTAAAAAATTGAGTATTTACTCGACATTTAAAGTTAAGAAACAAGTATGATGCTTTAGTGTCTTAGAACCAATTCCATTAACTTTATATAATTCTCTGACTAAAAATTTACTACGAGATAGATAGCGAATCGCGTGTCACAAAGTGGTTAAAATGAAGGAACTAACAATTACTGAATACTATTTTTTTATAATATTTTTGAAATGCTATAAAATATTTTTCATAAAATATTGCGTTTTTATAATATCCCTACAATATTACAATGCAACTTGCAAAATTGTAACATGTATGCTGCAATGTAATTGCAATATGTACTGTGTTGTACGGGTAAGATTTCTATAGTATTCTAACGATTGAATCCGTTTTCAACAAAGAATTAAAGAAAACGATAAGAGTCTTTGCAAATCGTATCAATTCCTATTGTTTCTATTGATTTTTATTATGGATAAGTTTTCTGTTGTAATTTACAATAAAATACGTTTTCAATCGTTTATTGTTAATGCATGATTAATATTTACAGGTTTTTTGTAATTGTACATTAAAAATCTTAAAGTCTTTTTATTATAAATATACAATTGATTATGATAGATTTGAATAATTTTTCTTGATAAATTCCACAAAACGATAAAAATAATATATCACTATAACATTTTTATCGTATTTTAACGACTGAATCCGCGTTTAACAAATAATAAAGAAAACGATAAAAAACGATAACATTTCTTTCGGAATCTAAAAAGTGAAACAATAGATTACAATAAAAACAATAAGATTTTTACAAATTGTATCGGTTTCTATTGTTTTCTATTGATCTATTTATCAGAATTTTTTTAGCATCTTTGAATTTTGTATGTATGTAATCCTCTTTCGACGTATAATCGAAAAGACAGTATAGGAAGGTAACAAAGTACAAACTCTGTTATAAATTTTTATTTTTTTATAAATTCACAAACGCGCCATGTTTGCATCCGTTATATAGATATAGTATAACATATGCAAAGCTAAAATTAGATAAACTATATTTATGATATTGCGTGCATTATATTATTGATCGTAATAATACATTCATAGCATAACTATATATTAATAATTCTAATAATGAATGATCTTTTTTGTTATAACACGAAATAAACACAATGTTTTGATTATGTTTGCCAATATTGAAAAACTGTAAAATATTTTATTAGACATATTATATGTACTGTATAACAATATATATTGTATATTGTATATTGAATAATCCTTTTGAGTGAATTTGATTAGATATTCTTATTTTAATATTTATATTTTGAATATTTGAGATTAATATAACATACACCGGGTGATACATACCAAAATAAAGCGTTACAAAGTTTTATCTTCAAAATGTTGTTTTTTAGAAAAGAATGTTTCAAAAAAGTTGTATGGCTTCAAGGGGGACATAAGATGGTGACAATGTGATTCAACTTTGGATAATCGTTTGAAGGTCACATGAAGATCACCTTCAATTTCTAAATGGAACCTATTATTTTTCATTGTATGTTCTTGTATCTCAAGAGCTTTCCAAAACACTGTAATTAAATATTTTTAGAGGTTTTTCTCTTACGAGTAAATACTTTTTGAGTTATTAAAGTTAACATTTTTTGACATAAAATGTAAAATATCTTGTAAAATATTCAGTTTTAATAATCTTACCTTGATGTACATGTTGCAAATTACATACTTTTTTTAAAAACAGTTATCTGTTTTCTTTACACCAATTGATTGGTCTCATTATTCTGTGCATAAAAGTATTAAGGTAAGATTACCGAAAACTGAATAGTTTATAAGATTAAGACTATCAATACTCCGCTATATTAAATATAAATACAAGTGAGAAAGGCCTTAAGAACTGAACGCGGATGTTAATGTGTGCATTCTAACGAAAATGAATTTTTTGTTGGAATTAAATAATTGTGCATAAGGCGCGTATTTTACTACTACTAAGACTTATATATAAAGAATAATCTCTTTACTTGAGGTTTTAATTTTATAAATCCCCCTCTGGCCCCCTTAAAGAATTAAATGCGAGAAAAAATATAGATCCAAAAGTCGCTGAATCGGGAATCGAACCCGAAACCTTTCGCTTGGTCGCGTTCGATTCCCAATTCAGCGACTTTCGGATCTATATTTTTCTCTCGCATTTAATTTTTTAGGGGGGTCAGAGAGGGATCTATGAAATTAAAATCTCAAGTAAAAAAATTCCATATATATAATTCTTGATAGTAGTAAAATACGTGCCTTGTGCACAATTATTTAATTCCAACAAAAAATTTATTTTCGTGAAACGCACGCATTAACATCCGCGTTCGGCTCTTAAGGAGTTTACAAGATATTTTACATTTATAAAAAATTGTTAACTTCAAACTTTATAACTCAAAAAGTACTTGAGAAAAAAATACTTTATTACAGTCTTTTAGAAAGCTGTCGGAATAAGCTACAAGAATATGTAATAAAAAATAGTAGTAAGAATATTTTTAAGTCGGCTCTCCAATTTTTAATCATCGTATTTATCTCGACTAAAGAGTCGACTTAAAAATATTCTTATTATTGTTTATCGCGTTTGGACGAATTACGACGCCTTGGTGGGGGGAGGGGGGTATAAACATTGAGAGAAATATTGATTTGCAAGTGTCTGAATAGCTCAGCTGGAAGAGCAGTCGCCCGGCAAGCGGAAGGTCTCGGGTTCGATTCCCGATTCAGCCGACTTTCGGACCAATATTTTTCTCGTCTAATTCTTTACAGGGGATGTTAGGAGAAGGAACAAGGGGAATTTCTGAGATCCCAATCATAGGATTCAAATTCCTTAGTTTCCAAATTTTCTTATCTTAATCTGACGCAATAACATCGCGTTTGGCTCTTTAGTCGAGATAAATACGATAATTAAAAAATAGTAGGTTCCATTTAAAAAATTGAAGGTGATGTTCATGTGACCTTCAAATAAATTCATGGTCGAATCATTGTCTCTATCCTATGTCTCCCTTAAAGAGTCATATAACTTTTATTTAAAACATTTTTCTCTAGAAACAATATTTTTGGAGATAAAAATTTGTAACGCTTTATTTTAAAGGCCCGGTTATTTGATATTTTATATACTATATTCAATTTGTATTTCAATATTACAACTATTCAAATGTTTGTAGACTATTGAATATTTGAATATTGCATTGCACTCTATAGTCGTTTAAATACTTGAATATTCTAATAATAAAAATGTTGAAAATGTCAAAATTTGCAAATCAAATATAAAGTTTTAATATATACAGTTAAAAAATCAATTGTAATCAATTATAATCAATACAATACTATATATAATGTGATAGTATGTTTATAATATTGGGTCGCTTTAATATAAACATATAATATATCTATGCATATTTTCCATCTATATTAATGCTTCCAATTTGATATATAATATAATTTAATATATAAATTTAATTTTAAAATATTTATACCTTTTAAATATGCTTACCAAATAATTTCCATACTGTTACAACATCTAAGTTGAAGTACTGTAAAGTCCGTACCAATGAAAGAGATGGACACATAATACTGGCAGCGACCGACCTAAAAATCAAATATGAGATTACAATGTTTCTAGATACAAATAAAGTAATGTATAAAAATAACAAAACTTTTATTATAATATATTTATAATACATTTTATCATATATTCATATTATCTTATTATAGTATTATATATTATAATATGTTATTTCTATACTATATATTGTATTTTAATTTTTTATAAAATTTGAATGTATGGAATGTTAGGTAAGAATGGGTAATTTCTCGTAATATAAAGGAAGTAAAATAATAATCTCATAAGTTTCTATTAAATTTTTTTCTTCATTGTATCTCTGTTGAGATATTTGTCTTTAAAGATTTGAAAAAAAAATTCTTAAATCATTTTTATATTGCTTAGCAGATTTTTATAATTTGTAATAATTATTTTTATTTCAAGTGTTTCTTAAAAAATATGATGTATACATTGGTTGGTAATTGTCGCTTCAACCGTCGTGTGCAGGTAAAGTGAGTTAAACTGAATAGGAAAGTCCTCTACCGTTTTGTGATTTACGCAATCATTATTGAGTTATTAAATAAGAAAGATCAGCCAATCCACGCGAATAAAAGCGTGTAACGAGAAGAGACGTCCTACTGTAACACGATACACGAACATTTTTCGAACGCGATTTGTACATAGTCATCGTTCGCTCCTCCCTCCGCTTTGCCGCGCGCCGTGTATCGTGTTACAGTAAGACGTCTCTTCTCGTTGCGCGCTTCTATTCGCGTGGATTTTTTATTTAATAACTCAATAATTATTGCGAAAATCACGAAAAAACGGTAGAAGAGATTTCCTATTCGGTTTAACTCACTTTACCTGCATACGACGGTTGAAGCGACAATTATCGGACACCCTGTATATATATATATATATGTAATATATATATATATATATATATGTATATATATGTGTATATATACATATACAATATATACTATATATAATAAATTGATACTACTTCAAAATGCCAGAAACGGAAACTATCTTTAAGTATTATTATCTAATCTATACAATTTTATAGTAGATGGGTTTTTACATACTATACACTGACGAGGTACTATTAAAGACCGTCAGTTCTGAGTAAATTTCTGTCTCTACTAAGTAGGCCTGTCATCGGTCGATAATCATTACAATAAATAATTAATAAGAACATTTCATTCATTTTGCTAAATTGTAAATTATTTATATATTTTTTATATTCAATATAATTAATAATTAAATATATATATATAAATATTTATATATATAAAATAGGACTTGGTCCTTACCGACACCGTATGACAAGCTCATTTGTTAGGCACGCTAAGGCTTATAAAACTGACCGTTTTTAATAATACTTCGTCGGTGCTTTTATACATTTTCTTAAATTTTTCACATCTTTTTGTAGAAAAAAAGATGTTCTTGTTTTATTTTGAAAAAATTGCTCTACAGAAAGACATATTTGATCAATAAAAGGCAAACTTTTATCTAAATAATAGAATAGTAATTTTGTGAATAATATAAACATACATTGACTAGCGTTCCCCTATCACGGCTTCGCTCGAACTCTTCATGTATAGAATTCAAAATTTCTCAAGTGAAAACCCTCCAAAAAAATGTAATCGAAACAATAGTGTTTACCGGCTGTACTAAGGGAGAGTCAGTGTTCATACCACGTATACCACTCACACTATCAGGCTACCCGTTTGAATTTAAAAAACTGCAGTTCCCATTAAAAGTCTGTTTTGCTATGAAAATAAGTCCTAAGGACAATATCTAAAAGTGGCAAGGATTGATTTAAAAGAGAGCTGCTTTTCACATAAGCAATTTTACGTGGTCTGCTCTCGAGTAAGTTCACCCAGTAGTTTGGTAATCCTGACACTTAAGGGAAAAACTACTAATGTAGTCTACAAAGAGGTCTTTAAGTAGATAATCGTATGACATTACATATTGTTGTAAATAAACTTTTATAAATTTCAAATTTTATACATAAAAAGTTTGGGCGAGGTCGTGATAAGGGAACGTTAATATAACTATAAGATTATATTCTTACTATGTGATTCGATGTCACAGTCATTACATTCGATCGAATAAACGAAAAAACTTAATTCGTTTACATTTAAGTATAGCGAGCGTGAATAGAATTTATTTAGATCAGTGCTTGGAATTTGTTGCTCTTTTCGAGCCGATATCAGAAGCAACGCCTTCGGCCTTCCACTACCGTTCAAGGCTCAGTTGTCAAGTCGATTGCTCGTGCAACAAACATTGCTGGAGACTTACGGAAATGTAACTCACCGATTTTAATGAAACTTTTCATATTTGTAGAACATCGAAAAATAATTGACACGTATTTTTTTTATTTTGACAAAGGTGCGGGTTTAAGGGTAGAAACCACCCTTTGAAGGGATAGTCTCCAAGCATAGACAGAAAACAATCATTTAATTTAGAAGAAAAAATACTTTTAAGGGGTTTTAGTACAGCTGACTCCGAATTTGACGTCAAAAATAAAAAAAAATGGCGGATCCAATATGGTGATTAAAATTACAAAAATTCTTCTAGTTTGAAATGCTCTGCAGATAGCCAATAAAAATTATAGTTTTCAGGGTTTACTGCGAGAAGGTTGCAGACTGATTTTAAACCCCTTTCTGTACTTATTTTAACGGGATGCTTGATTAAAGTATGTCTCTTCACTTCTCACTATTCTCACTAATAACTATATATGTTGCCGAACTTTCACACTTCAATTATGAAAACGACCAATTTAATTTACTTTCATATAAATGTATATAAAAAAAGAAAAATTATTTAATACCCTTACAAAAAATCACTAGTAACGCCAATTTATCACTTATTTCGAGTACTTAAATTACTGTATATCAGTACTAATATTTAAGTACTTGAAATAAGTGATTAATTGGCGTTACTAGTGATAAATTTCTACAAGGGTATTCGAATTCCCACTAATAACTTTCATACGTTGTTATTTAGAAAAAGTTTTACAGATAAGAAGCTTCTAAAGCATTTTTTCAATTAATTTATTTATGTAATATTTTCTGATTTCTATTTTAAAAATCATTCTTTTGTCATGAGATGTAATCGCCATATTGGATCCGCCATTTTAAATTTTGTAATTTTGACGTCAGATTCGGAATCAGCTGTACCAATAGCCATACTAAAACCTCTCTGCAAGTATTTTTTCTTCTAAATTAAATGATTGTTTTCTGTCTATGCTTGAAGACCACCCCAACGTTCAAAGGGTTTCTACCTTAAACCCGCACCTTAGCCGAAATAAAAAAATACGTGTCGATTATTTTTCGATGTTTTACAAGTATGCAAAGTTTCATTAAAATCGGTGAGTTACACTTCCGTAAGTCTCCTTGTCAGTGTACAAAAAGTATGCTGGGATTGTACGTTCCGCTAAATCGTTATTTTTTTGTTACATAATTTTTATTTTTATTAAATAAGAATTGAATATTAAAATTTCTATTATTAATATAATTATAAATGTAATTCTATTTTTAACATATTAACAAAATAATGACGATTTGGCGAAAGAGACATAGCGTTGCTCGAATGATCGGCGGCTCGGCCGTGGATCGAAGGCGTCGCTTCTGATATCGACTTGAGAAGAGCAACTGATTTCGAGCACTTATTTAGATTTTTTGGTATTTATATGGATAATCTTTGTAAGCAATTATGAAGTCTATATATTATGAGGCTTCGGAAATATTGGGAAAAACTAATTTTTCCTTTTCACCCCTTAAGGAATGATTAGAATAAAATGCAGAAATTGATTTTTAGGTATTTATATGAGTAATCTGTAGTAATAACGAAGTCTATATCTTATCAGACCATGAAGATATTAAGAAATCCGTAAAAACACATTTTTCTCTTTCCACCCCCTTAAGGGTTGATTAGAGCAAAATCCGTTCTTAGTGCGCCCCTACGCCATGCAAGGCGTACACATCCCAAATTTCAACTTTCTAGGTCCAAAGATTTGGGCTGGACATTGATAAGTGAGTCAGTCAGAACACTTGTTTTTATATATTAAGATTATACATTGATTATATTAAAACCTATTTATTAATTATATTAAAACAAAACAGATTTAGTCAAAATTACAAAGGTCAATATAATTTTTTCCTATATATTGTTAGTTAGTCTTATAAATGTTGTAACAATGTTACCAATATTCAAAAGATGTTTTACATAAATTATACTATTGTGACGTTGCATTTTGCGCCCGTCATAAGGACGGACGCATTCGGCCGGAAGGGTTCGGAGAGCGCTCCGATTTCGATTTTTGCGGGCAAGCGACGACTTTGTCGTCGACTCGCCATTACTGATTTATTTGGCGGAGTCCGAGGTGAGTGGTCCCGAGGAGAAATGTTTTAGAGAGAAGTAGCCATGAGAAAAGCGAAGGAAGAGGATGAAGCGGCGTGGCCGAGAGCGGTGCGCACCGAGCCGAGACTCGCCTTCGGCTCGTGCGTCCATCCCCCGCACTCGTGACCAATTGTCAACTTTCCGCACTTGATACACAATATACTATTTTTAAACATAATTGACTGTCTATTGCTAACGTATTTAATATCTGGTTATTGTAAAATATTTTTATACACATTATGACTCCTGTAGGTTATTAGTTTTGATACAATGTTTTAGTTGATTCTTTTTGTAATTATTTATATTTTGCGCTGAAGACGACTTGAAAAATCAAGTCGAAACGTCCGTTCTGACTTCGTTCTAACGGTCCACTATGAGTCTATTTATTTAATTTATTTTATTGCAATTGTTAAATTCCATATATGCGATTAACCATGTTTTATTTAATTTTTTGCTTGTATCTTATAATTTCTTATTATATGCGTTGATTCTTATTAAACTTAATTGCCATTTACACAGCTCTTACAAGCCTTTTTATACTCCTTATTTTTAAATTATTTTGGTTACAAGTTGAATTGCTCAGTTACTTTAGTATTAAAAAATGTACAATGAACAGTATCACAACAAAAATTTAATAAAA